AATGATCCACGAGAAACAAAATGAATGATAGGAAATGGAGCAATCACAGACTTTCCTGTCCGGAAGGCATTAATTCCTCGAGTTAGCTGACAACTGTAGGTCATGTGACGAAAAACACGTACTGTATGTTCAATTTAACCTGAATAAGATCACACAAATTTATCTAACCTCCTCACCAAATGGATGCCTATCGTCGCTGTCGGGTAATAAAACAACAAAAAACTTTTAACATATTTAAAAACTGTTGATATCGTGGCTTTATATAAGGCCAGACACTTGTACGCATCTTTACATTATTAACATTTTATCCAAACTAAGCTCAAGTGGAGTTACAAGGTCTTTGCCCAGTGAATATCAGATATAGTATGTACACTGTGAAATCGAATTAGTTCGACTTGCTTAAAAAAGCTTGCAAACCAATTGCCTTAAAAAAACGAAGGTAAATAGTCAGTATGTTGTACCGACAAAAGCTCAGTATACCGTAAAACTTGAAATAAGCTTTTATTTTCCCAAATCGTCCAACTGCACCGGCTTGTATTTGAGTTAAGGTAAATAACCCTTTAACACATTTCATTCTGTTCTGCTGACTCAAAACAGTGTAATATATAAAGGATAATGATATAAAGTCTGTGTGTGTCAATTGTAAGATATTGTCACAAATACTGAGGGAGTATCAACCCAAGTAAAAGTTTCACAAGGTATAAGTGTTAGCAGTAATCATAACCATGATAGGTATCCATTTGGTGAGGGTTAAATTGAACATGTATGTGTTTTTCTTCACATGATCGGTAAATAATGACACAGCAAATGGTCCTCTGAGGAATTAATGCCTTCCGGACAGGAAAGTCTGTGATTGCTGCAATGCCTAATTCATTTAGTTACTCAAGCTAAATCGGCCTGATGCATATTTATTATAGAGCTGCTTGGTAACAGCACTGCTGGCATCCCATAAAACAGAAATGAAGTCACCTGTGTCTGGTTGTCTGTAGTGTCCTAGGGGATGAGGTGGTGGGGATCTGGTCCAGGAACGCAGATAAAGCAGACGTAACCTGCGCGTGTGTGTCTCACTCCGGCCTCAACATCGTGACAGGAGATGACTTTGGAATGGTAAAGCTGTTCGACTTTCCCTGTCCAGAGAAATTTGTAAGTACACTGTGTTTTTTTCCTGTAAAAAATGTTGTTTCACATGTGGTTACTGTGATTTGGCTAAGTAAGACGCTTTCCTGGATCAGTATTCCTGTCTGAAAATATAGTCCTAATCCTATCCATCCCCCAAAACCTAGCTCTACCATGAATTATACCCATCAACAATATGATGAAATTAACATTTTACAGTTTCTGCGATTATCTATTTCTGTAAAGTGACCGAGTTATAGTTATAAAGACAAAGATGTGCTTTGATTGTCCCAAAATGGACCTGACTTCAGTCCTGATGTGAAAACTAAGTGCTTTTAATTATACCGAATGTGCACTTGTTTTGTACTTCATATCTAAGTGTACTTGCATTATAGTATTAACTATACGAAGTACACTTTCATGACTACTGTATGTATCTTAACACACTTAAGTAGTCTACACGTTGAAAAAGTGCACTTTGTAATGTCAATTTATAATTTTTACTTTAGAATACATTGTTTTAATAATCTATTGTGCTTTAAAGAAGTACACTTATTTTGATGGGTTGACTATGCACATGTAAAATATTTGATTTAAAATTTTAAATCTTATTTCAAATTACTCGGTCCCAACTTCATCATTACAGATGTGTATTTATTTACAAATATCTTTAAATACAAAAATGCCATTAAATTATATTTTTAGTTTACTATGGTTTCTTGTCCATATTCAACAGTACACTTTAGCCATATTTTAATAGAATTAGACAACAGAATTATGAAATTAATTACATATAAAGATGTACTTGCGTCCTACTTAAGTTCAGCTAATTGAATTTAATATGAATTTAAAACATACATTTTCATTTAATTGTAAAAAAAAAAGCTTTATTTTCTAAAATTATTTTTATGTAATAAGTATGCTAAAGTGCTTTTCTTTTTCACAAGGGTCAACAGTGCTGTTTCCTACAGATAAATATAAACCACAGAGTAACTTTTGCTGTCTCTGCATATTATATATGGCATGTCATGTGACGGCACATCACAAGACTGATGTGTAAAAGGGCTGGATGTGACAGTTTTTGCCAAAATAGATCAAAACATTCTCATAACAACCAAAGTTCAGCTGTGTATTTGGATTATAAAATCTTTTGTGTTTTCATTATATATCCATACTAATAAAATGCTCCCTCATCCACTCTCCTGACCTGTGCTGCACATATTTCAGCCTTTTCAAGGATAAAATAGCAAATTGTTTCACTAGAATCTGTTTCCTCAGGCCAAACACAAGCGTTTTCTGGGCCACTCGGCTCACCTGACCAACATCCGCTTCACCAGTGGGGATCGCTTCGTCATCAGCGCTGGAGGCGATGATAGGAGGTGTGTGTTCAGTTGTGTTCCTCACAGGCACCCATCTTGCTGTACTTTATCATTCTTCCTCTTTTAAAAAAATCGTGCTTGATTTTCTGTGTCACAGTTGCAGAATCCAATCCAAGCTGTCAGTTTAGTTTCACCTTTTACAAAAGCATTAACACATTTTATTCTGTTCTGTTGACTCAAAACGGTGCAATATGTAAATAATAATGATATAAAAGTGTTTTATAAAAAAACTTTTGAATGGTAGTGCTTGCATATAATTATTTCAGAAAGACACATGACTGACCCAGGCAAAATTAGGATCCAAAATGTGATTTTTTGCAATATGTGCTAATGCAAAGTGAAAATTTGAATGAATCAATGAATGAATCAATCAATCAACTTCAACTTTTATTTATTTATATAGCACATTTAATAGCAACGTTGTTGCCCAAAGTGCTTCACAGTTAGCTCAAAACAGTTAGACATTCATCAATAAAAGCATGTATGAAAATAGACCATACACTCTTAGACATATTCCCTCATATAACAATATAGTGTTGAATCAAATCAATCCCAAATGTACAATGAAGAAACAAACATGAAACCAATACCGTACCGTATGGAATCAGTTGGGTCAAGTATAAAGTTGACTGCAGAATGCTGTCATGAACCAATCAGAATTAAGTATTCCTGGTAGCTGTGATAAGGAGTGTTATTAATGTTATTAAAAAAACGTTCCCATTAATAATCTTACATTTTCTCTGTGTATGTTCAACAGCCTATTTGTATGGCGGTGTGTCCACGCTCCTCACTGAGGGCATGCGGTCTCGAAACATCCCGAAGCCCAGCTGACGGGTCACGGGTCACATCATGACCGGATGCATGTTCACCCATTCCTGAACTCAACCGTTTCTGAATGATAGTTGGGCTAATGTGTCACAAGACCCAACGTACCGTAAAAGATCTGTCAGATGTGTAAGTGTTTACCCCTCACGTTTTTACTCATTTCTTTAAAAGATAATCTTGAGCTACAAGATTACAGAACGTAATTATCCATAATGTTTGTGAGATTTTCTTCCAAAATGAAAAAGAACTTGTAGCAAGCAAAAGTACGATTAGCCTTAAACTACCCGTTTTCTTTTTGTTGTTCATTTCGGTGTGGTGTTTTTCATTTGATATCGAGTGTTGTGTTTCTTAATGTCGGTTTAGTTTGGTGATTCTCTCTGAGGTTTAATAGATCTCCTGTGGCCTTCTCCCTGAATGTAACACTGGCGTTATATTCTAGGATGTCAGCATGCCAAAGCATTCTATGCACTGTATACTTGACCTGCTCACTGTGGTTGTCCAGTGGTCTTTTAATGTTGATCTTGAACGTGGTCTGATCTCCCTTAACAGTAGATACACTCCTAACCTCATATGTAGCAGCTTTAGCTCGACTAGTGAACTCGAGATGTCTGTTTGTGTGAGTAGGAATGAACCGTGTGCTTCGTGTTTCATGTCTGAGATCAAAGTTTAAAAGAAAAAAAAAAGGGTGATGCAATCCCTCAGAAAATGAATGAAAAGAGTCTGTTTCAATGCTGTCTTATCTGAAATCACTGTTCATCTTGCTGCTGAAGCCTTTATAACATCACATTCGTTTTGATTAGGAATCGGTTTGGTTTTAATCGTCGTGAAGATTTTCTCTCCTTCAGTGTATCACACTCTGATTGAAAGAGATGCATATTATGATTTTCTTATCAATGTAAATATCATTTGTAAAGACATTCTTTTGTATATTTTTGTGAAATGTTTCTTAAAAGCCAACTTTAATAATAAAAAAGATGTACATATATGACACGTGTGCATCACAGTTTTTGAATGGTCTCGTTCAACAGATTGAAAGCTATTGATATCTTCCTCGTTCTGAAGTGACGTGGACTGATTGTTCAGGGTTCAATACAAATCTGTAAATGTAAATGTAAGCCTGGTTCCACAGATCAGGTTTAGATTAAGTCAGGATTAAGACATTTAAACGGCTTTCGTGCCTTTGAATAAAACATTTATGAAACAATGGCATATTTTAAGATTTATCAGTGCAAATTGCGTTCAGTTAAAACCCCTTAAACATGCATTTTAGTCTGAGCCTTGTCTGTGAAACCGGGGGATAGTTTACAATAATGTACTTAAATGAGTCAAAGGTCTTTTCTTAACTTGTTTTGAACCAGGAACATTCCTCAAATATATTGACAGTTTATTGGCATTTATCATCTCTCAAGGGAAAGACTTTGTTAGCATAAAAAAAGGAAAAGAATTGCACACTATGATACAGAACTTCCTTATGACCCAGATAATATGATACTTGCAGTTTACTGATTGTTATAACGCAATCAGGATGCTTTTCAATTCATTTGTATGATCAATCCATCATTTAATGCAAAATACACATAACTTGCATTTAATCTGAGCTGTATGTTTTTGATCACATGATGATTCAAACCACATAACAACTGGCTGAATATTCAGTTTTTAAGAATAATCTCAAAATTATATCATCTTATAACTTTATTAGAAATATATGTACAATCTCCATTATATACACAACACACTAAAGTAACATCTGTAGGTTCTGATTTCTGAATCTGATCAGTGCTCATAAGTTCAAACATCAGAATCGCTCACGTTATTAGCAAATTCCTAAGCTTCTGGCTGATTTTAAAGAAGCACATAGGCGGCATGCATTAACAGCTTGATGAACTGGAGAGTCTCAGAGCTTCACGGAGAAGGACGAGCCGCACGAGCAGCCATGTTCAGCCTGTGGGTTCTTCAACACCTGGAAAGAAGAGCGGATGAGCTCCTGACTGAAGTCTAGAGTGGATCCCTTCACAAACTCCAGACTGTCCTGGTCGATTATGACCCCAACACCATTCTTCTCAAACACTCTGGAAAGAAGGAGACCGAAATAAATGCAAGAGATCAACGAAAATTCATTTCATTAAAAATCATCCATATTGGATTTCTGTGGTACTGTATGAACTCTTAAGACTTTTGATCTGATAAAGTCGCTTTATAGTATCAAGTCAGTACAAGTACACAAGAACTAACAGAACTACACACAATAAATAGACTTTGAGAAGGTACAGTAAACAAAGAACAGTATAAACCTACGCCAAACAAACACAATACAGATTATTACCTCCATATCGGAGTATGTATTTCTCTGTATTCAAGTATTTGAAAGCAGCGTTACAGTGATAACGGGAAAATTATGTATTTCGCTGCTGTTCAGTGTTGAAAGTTACAGTATTAGGCAGTATTACAGTATTAGTTCATCAGAGAGAGAACTATTAGAAATGTTAGATCAACTAGATACAATTAAAGGGATAGTTCACCCAAAACTCATTTACTGCCTATTTTTCTTTTTTTTTAACACAAAAGAATTTTTTTTTTTTTTGAAGTTGATGGTAGCCATTGATTTCCATAGTTAAAAAATACCATGGAAGTCAATGGGTGCCTTCAACTGTCTGGTTACAACATTCTTCAAAATATCTTCTTTTGTGCCAACAAACTGATTTTTTGTAATTACCTGTCATCTTCATTTCTAACAGCGTCCACTGCGAATTTATACTGGAATCCTGAACATCCTCCTCCCTCCACTGCTATCCTCAGATACTGTCCCTTATCCAGAATCTCAGCAAGCCTCTGCAGGAATAACAAAAAAAGACATTTTGATTGGATTATTAAAATTAATTGTTGTTGTCCATGTCAAGTAAGAAGCTTCTTTTTCTTTCTTTCTTTGTTACTGCCTACAATGTGTTCACTGAAGTATATAGGATAAAGTGCAGTGAGTTCAAACCTTGACACAGGATTGACTGAGAAGAAGCTCCTCAGCTGGGATGGCGGAGTCTAGCTGCGGGTTGCTGCTGTAGCGCGCATGCGCAGTGCGGCTGAGAGGAGCTTGACATCTCGCTGTATGAACTCTGGTCGACGACAACAAACAAACACACGTGACACACCGAACTGCTGTACACACAATGCCCTTGACTTGACCGAGTTTCGATATCCATAGCATAGTACTGTGGCTATATTTATTTCAAAACAACAGAGAAACCAACTAAAAAGCTTAGTTAAGTTTGGGCTAAATGTGTGTAAAAGAACGAAGATTGTTTGTAAGCAACTGAGGAATTTCACCGTAAATAATTTACGCGAGGAGATTATTTGTCGACATTCATAAATGTTCATGTTCTACTTTCAGTTATTAAATGTTGTCATCTGTGCCGTTAACGTTAGCTCAGTCGCAAGTCAACTGTTCTCAAGCTAGCTAGCTAAGCTACCTGCAATAGCTATTAACTGAAGAACGGGTACCAAACACAGTCAATTTATATTAGACAATACATTTATCACTAAGATTTCGCTAATTTGTGCATACTTGAGAAGTTGAAATGACGCTGATCTAGGTGCGTTTATGAGCAGTCTTCTGGCGAATGACATCTTCTATAACTAACTCGGATTCTACTGCGCATGCGCGTGAGAGAGTTATTGACAGTGGGTTGCCAGGTTCAGTTATTTAACCCTTTATTTTTTTTTAGGTAATTTCCATGTTAATTTGGAAAAATAAAGACGTATACGTTGGTATTGAAAGGGATTCAGTCAGTAAATAATAATAATTAAACTTTTTATATATACAAAAATGTTTTAATGATCGGTAAAAGAAGAAGGTCTAATTAGATGCACTGTTTCTGACATTCTAGCTGGCAAGGGTTAAGGCTTACCTTTCTGATGCAGCTTTATGTCACAAATGCATATACAATTGACAGCTGTCACTAAGCAAGTTCAGTGTGCATTTTATTTCTACAAACTTACATGTTTATTGGCAAACAAATGACTTATTTAGTGTAAAAAGAGCCTGCTGTGATAAACTCTTATTTATATAGAAAATACATTAACTGATATCTGTACCTTTAATTATGACATGAAATATACATCAAATATGCCAGATTTGAGCTCTGTAAAGTATCTCAAAGACATATGCTAATTTAAAACAAACAGGGTCATTCTTTAACTGGAGTGGCAAATGAGAGGCAGAATTTGTAAAAAGCTTTAATTCTTAAATCTATATTCACAACATAGTCATTTTTAGTGTTAAAATGTTATATTGTTGCATTTACACCAATATATCTCTTAGTACATAATAAAACACTATTAAGAATGCACTTTTGTCCCCCTATGGGATACAAAGATGCAAATATTTTATGATTTGCATCATAACAATGCAAATTGGACACCACAAATGAAGAATAACCCACCAACAACCTGAAGAAAGAAACATTTTATTGTTGTCATACTTCTCTTCATAATTTACTCTAGCCTAAAAGATGGCTTTTAATATATCTGGCAACAGAATGCTCTGCTTGTTTCGGATCATTTCCATGAGTCACTGCCATTGGTTAAGAGTTCACCGAGAAGGCGTGTACAAACAGTATTTGATTGGACGAGTCATTCTGATCTCGTGACAAGGAAATAGTGTGCTGTAACAAACTGGCGTCTGAAGGAATTGGCGTGTAAGCAACCGAATAAATAAGTTTGTAAGTGTTTTAACGTTTGAATTGAGCGTATTTTGTGAGTTTTCTGTGTATTCATTAGTAACGGTGAAATTCATCTTCACGGGAAAGTTTAACTATTACCGAAACTCCGTAGAGATTGACGGTCATGTGATTGACCGATATAAGTTCGTGTCTGTCATGTTGTCTGTCAGTCAGGTAACCTTAACGATAACGATAGTTTGTTGTTTCTCCACAGGATTCGTCTGAACCATGGGTTACAGCATGATCTTAGTTGTTATGCTCTCTTTTCTCGCCTACACTCATTCTGAGCCGGTGAAATTTGTGGACTGTGGTATGTACTCATGTTTATCAAGTTTAAATTCAATAAAAATGTCATTTAATCACCCTCAAGTTGTTCCGAACCTGTATGAATTTCTTCTCCTGAACTCAAAAGGGGATATTTTGAGGAGTATAGATCACTAAACAGTTATTGGGCCACATTGACTTCCATGTGGGAAATAAATAAACTAATAATAATATATATAACGTTATAGAAGAATTTTGGTTACTAGACAGTGGTTGGACCCCGTTGACTTCACCAAATGAGGAAGTCAATGGGGTCCAACAACTGTCTGGTTACCAACACTCTTCAAAATATCATCTTTTGTGTTCAACGGGAAAAAGAAACTCGAGCAACTTGAGTGTGAGTAAATGATGACTGAATTTCCGTCTGTGGGTGAACTGTCCCTTTGACAAATTGCGTAATCTATAATTTTTGTTACTTTTTTCAACTTTTCCTCTTCCTCACAGGGTCAGTAGACGGAAAAGTTGTTGGAGTTGACATTCAGCCGTGCTCACAACAGCCATGCCAGCTTCACAAGGGGCAGTCCTATGCGGTCAATGTAACCTTCAGCAGCAGTGAGTTGCTTTATATGTCTAGTATCAGCTCCAATCATAATTTTAGAAAAACAACAACTTGTTTGTATTTCCCATAGCTGTTGCGAGTCAGACCAGTAAAGCTATCGTTCATGGAGTGATCGCAGGCGTCCCCGTCCCCTTCCCAATCCCTATTGACGATGGTTGCAAGTCTGGAATTCAGTGTCCTATTGATCCACAAAAAATGTACAGCTACGTCAACCAGCTGCCCGTCAAGAGCGAGTATCCAACAGTAAGTGTTTAAGTTCCTCATCTATCTAGTTCTGAACAGTGCTTTAATGTCACAGGCATTCAATTCCTTATTTTGTTGCTTTGTTTATTAGATAAGACTGGTTGTGGAATGGGAATTAAGAGATGACTCCAACAAAGATTTATTTTGCGTCAAGTTCCCAGTTCAGATTGTGAGCTGAAGGCCAACACTGAAGCCAAGATGAAAACGTTTACAAAGGGAAACAATTGTGCCTAAACGCCTTTCTATGGACCTTTTAGATCTAATATTAGTAGACACAGATTTTATGATTTATACTACCTTTTTTTTGCTGTTTTAACATTATCCTTGACCATGCACGCAGTGCCACTTTGCTAACATTGCCTAATTCTAGTTTGTTGTCAATGATTCACCAGAACGAGACGCTGACGAGACAAACAGTGGTCAGTGCCGGTGATTAAATCAAGTGTGCACTAGCTACAGTGTTGTAATGTTTCTAATCAAACTTTCTTTGAGCTAATAGTTGTCAATTGGTAACTTTTTACTAGCATTTTTAAATCTGCATATTTAATAAAGATCGCATCTTAAAATTAGCTTATTTTATTAAAACATCGGCGAATGTAGCCGCTTTTTACATGCAACGATAACATGTATGTTACTGAAGTAAACTAGTTTTTTTTCTTTATGGTAAACAATGATTTTTGCTTTTCTTCTGTGTGAGGATTTTGTCCGGAATGTAAAAATAGGGAAACATTTAAATATTCCTGCAGGGGACCCACACCCTTTGACCAGTTATTATTTATCCATTATTTTCTAGTCCTTCATCATTAAAACAATAAAACCATACAAGTAATACAAAATGATTTACATTCTGTTTTTTATTATTGTGGTTTAATCATGAACGACTAGAAAATAAATGAAAAGGAAGTGGTCATAGGATGTAGGAACCCTGTATAAATTAATTATATACCTTTCAATGATGAGTCAGGGAGATTGTATCTAATGTTTGTGCTCAACTGTTTAGCTAAGAGTGAATTCCAGTTTAAGTAAATCACAATACTGTTAAACACTATACTATCTGTGTAAAAGGCTCAAACAAATCAATGGAAAGCTGACCGTGTTGTCTCTACAGCTAAAGATCTTTTTATTTGAAGTTTTGTCTATTAAAGCGATCTGTTCACTGTTTCTCCTTTCTGGGTCAGGTGTCTTGCTTCAGTTTCAGTTCTGCTTTCTGTCTGCAGTTTTTATATTCCTGTTGAGAGGTCATGTGTTTGAGGGCTAGCTCTTACTAGGTCAAATTTTGTTTCAATATGTTTTACCTTTATGATCAAGACATATTTGTGGTTGACTTTAAAGGGATACTCGACTTTTTTTGGAAATAGGCTCATTTTACAACTCCCCCAGAGTTCAACAGTTGAGTTTCACCGTTTTCAAATCCATTCAGATGATTTTCTGATATTTAGAAGAATATCAGTAACCAGACAGATTTTGGTCTCATTGACTTCCATAGTATATATATATTTTTTTCCTACTATGGAAGTCAATGAGACCAGAAACTGTCTGGTTACTGATATTCTTCTAAATATCAGAAAATCGGCTAAATGCATTTGAAAACGTTGAAACTCGACTTTTTAACTCTGGGGGAGTTGTAAAATGCGTCTATTTCCCAAAAAAAGTGGAGTATCCCTTTAACTGTTTAAATGTTGAACATTATCAATAATTTGGTTAACTTTATCATTACTCAAGTATTTTATTGGAAACTTGCTAAAAGAAACCCCATTGTCTTTAAATGTATAGTTCACCCAAACATTTTCATCATTAATCTCTCGCCCTTATGTCATCCCAAACCCGTAACGTAAGACGTTTCGTTTATCTTTAGTACACAAATTAAGGTATTTTTTAATATAATCTGAAATATTTTTGTCCATCAATTAACGGCTACGCAACTACCACTTTGACGCTTCGTGTTCATGAAGAGATCGTAAAACGAATCCATATGAATCAAGCAGTCCAGCCCAAATTTTCTGAAGAGACGTGATTTATATGATGAACAGATTGAATTGAGGCGTTTATTCACATGAACATTGATCTGCAAACTGTTTACCACAACTGGGGGGGTGAACAGTAACTTTCCACTGTAAACTGATGTTATGCATATCAAATGAGGTCTAACAGACTTTAACAGACTACCTTTATTTTCATTACAGTGAAAATAGTCAAACATTAACGTGTATTTAATGATGCACAGATGTCGTTGTTAAACCTTTTTCATTTTATGGAGTCAGATGAAACGAGTTAATACATATTAAATGTTATGCATTTAATTAAAAATCACTTTTTTCGTCATGGGAAAGACGGAACACGCGTGAAACCTTCACCTCAAATCGAATTCCGCCATTGGATCAATTTTGTAGGCCTTACAATCATATAAAGCGATTATCTTTATAATCGTAAAACTAAACTGAGTCTCTTCAGAAAATTTGGAATAATCCGCTCAATTCATATGTATTAGTTTTACGATCACTTTATGAACTTTTTGAAGCGTTAAAGTAGTATTTGTGTACCTGTCAATGGAGGAACCGAAAGCTCTCAGATTTCATTAAACTCCACATTTGTTTCAAAGATGAATGGTTGTCTTACGGGTTTGGAACGACATAAGGGTAATTAATGACGGAAATTTCATTTTCGGGTGAACAAACACTTTAAATAAATTCTAAAGCAAGCAGAATATGACTATATGGCTATAAAACGGAATCACCAAACCACAGTAACATCTGAATGTGTGCTTTTTATTACAAGGAAACAAAAGCAAGCATTTTTTTTCTCTCTCTCTCTCTCTCAGGTACAGAAGTTATTTGTGCCATGTACGTCATACTCAGTTTCCTCTTGGTTGTCTGAGAAAACATTCTTTAAATTATAAGGATGTTATAATTTATCCTTTATAACAGATAAATTGGGGGGGGGGGACAGAGATAGGACAGGGATTTCTTAACCAGAGGACCACTTGTGTTCATTGGCCATTTTCAATTCATTTCACAGGCATGCTAAAGATGGCCAAAATAAAAATAACATGAGGTAGAAACCCATCATACAAGAACTTCCTGTATGCATTATTTAAGATTTAAATGCTGTTCTAAACTTAAAAGAAATGGAATGTAACTTTGTAGCATTTTGTTTATGCAGCCCTTTTAAACAAATTCAGATAACGGCTGCTTCTTTACCTTTAGTGCAATTCTGCGCAGTATCGATATGCAGTGTTTTAACCAGTTAATCAATAGTTCTACATAACAAACTTTCATCCTCAAAAAAAAAAAAAAAAAAAATTAAATTAAATGCCAATACATATAATTTGATATAGAACTATAGGAAACCACAGGAAATGTCTTTCTCATTACAATAAAAAGCTGAACATTGACCTCTACATAAACATGCTGTAATGTAATTGCAGGGAAAGATTCTGCTCAACTCATAACTCAAATCAATAGAAGTAAAAAGCTTCGGTTTCGGTGCTAAAATGCACCTTTTTTTAAGAAACCGCATGATGAATGTCTTCATTTTCTTCAAAAATACTTTTTTTTGGAAGAGGTGGATGGATATCACCACCATGTTTTGGCTCATCAGTCCTTTCTCCTGTTTTTGACAGATTGAGAAAGAAAACAAGGAAGCAATAGACATTCTTACAGTTACAAATGGAGTCTGATACATTATCAATAGCAAGAGAAGAAAGTGAATGTATCAGGATATTTTTTTCAGACAACCACTTTCCTGTAGACAGGTTAAACTAGACATTTGAATGAAAGTAGTAAGGCATCTGATCTGTGTTTAATGACAATACTTTAAAGAGCCATGCTGACGGAAATACAGTATGGAGCTCTAAAACTCATTTTGCAGGACCCAGTTAATACAAAATCATATCACTTGTATGTTAACAAAAGATTTCAGTGTACCCATAGTCTTTGAAACAGCACATCGCTATTTCTGGGGGTTATTCCACTTGCATAAACGTTAAAAAAACAAAAAAACTGAGTATTCATCTGGGCCCACTGTGTTATAGCACTGCCTCCAATGATACCTCTCTAAATTATAGTAAAATACTTTAAAACATCACAGGCAAGTCAGTTTGTCAAATGAACACCAAGAAGGTCTGTTAAAACATATCACAGGCTAAAAACTGATAAAGGTACCACCGATGCTTTAAGCTGAGAGCGGCGCTGGATTTGATAGAACCGTTTGCAAGCAAAGATATTCTGAACGATACTGAACCCCTCACTGTCCATTCTGTTTGAGCCTCTCCAGTCTCTGTAGCAGAGCATTTCCAAACGCTTCTCTATATCCAGGGCTGAGGGAGTCCAGCAGTGAGTAAACAGTCTCATGATACTGGGTGTTCAAGCTCTCGTCCACCTGATCAAAGATGTAGCCCACCACCTGACAGATGACGGATGACAAACACAAGATCCCACAGGTTAAACATCTCGGATTTCTCACTTTTCATCTTTGTGATCCCTAGCGTGTAACATTTAAAAAAGAAAGAAATTAATGTACTATATTTTGTATTCTGAGGGGAATTCATAGTGCTAGGCAATATTCATCTCTAAATTCTATACAAAATATATTATCTCCAACTGATACAATGTTTTAAAGTTACACTATGTAAGGCTTTTTTCCACCCTGCCCAATGCATTTCTGATCTGATATGTAAAGGAAAAAAGGTGTATTCGAACTCTGGTTTTGATACTGATGATAATCCAGCATCTTCCCTAATCGTGTCTGGCCCAATCAGTGCAGTTAGTGTAAATAGTCCCTGCCAACTAGGTGGGCTACTTGCACTTAGTGCAAATAGACACTCCAAAACAAGAATGGTCATTGTATTTCATATTGACTTTAAAAGTAGAGGCCTAGACTGAAAGTGGACCCCATATTCGCCTTTTGGAAAAACATCAGATTGTCAATATTATTGAGTAAATGCTGTTTTTGGTGGAACAGATGATACTTTATCACTCACCCTTAACCCTGCCTCGGTGAGCTCTAAGCAGTAGCGGGTTCCCTCTCTGATTTCCACGTTTATATAGGCCACATCTAGTCCGCTGGTGAGACTGTGAGAGACGTGCATGTCTGTGACCGCGAAGAGCACATCATTGACCACCGCCTCAGCCTCCAGCCTCATGTCCTTCACCTCTCCCAGCTCCACACAGCGCTCCTCATACGAGCACTTACACAGCTCCTCGGGCGTACAGTCCACCTCCATCCCCTAAACGCAACAGCGAGTGGATGATCATCAGACAAACAAACTGCATGTCCATAAACAACATCTGACGTCACCATGAGGGGCGCGAGCACTGTACAGTCACGCTACTAGCTAACGCCGCAAATTCCTCAACTGACAAGTCACAAAGTACGTTTAACTCTTAATAAGAGTGACATTTGTGTGTGTGTGGAAGGAACATTTTAATACGAATCATTGGTGTGTTATGTATGATGTAACTCGCATAAAGACAATCTAAAAAATATGAAGTGTTAGCTAACGGCATTTTTAATGCAAATCGAGGCTCTTGTACTAGCGTTTAAGTTCCATATGACGCCAATTCCGGGTTATGTTAACAGAATAATGGTATCATGGCATACATAACAAGTTCATTTGTGATATGATAAGGTCTGAAGTGGTTTAAGTTTATTTATTAACATAATTTTATGAGTTACTAACCTCCTCTTGGGGTGGTTCGTCAGAATACTTCCGGCTCATGCCGGCTAGGACTCATGTGTGTCAATTATGCGCAACAATTGCGCAAAGCAGCTTCTGCGTATCCGCCCCGACTAACATTACAGAATCTGCGATGTTTTAAGAAACAAGTTTATCAGAATATAGTAAAATATCTAAATCTATAATTTAGCTGTTGGCTGTAAATGATAATTAAAAGCTAACCGCTAAATTCCTTACATAACAAACTGTGGGTGGATGCGCGAGGCGAGCTTTGGGGGCGGAGGGGCTTCTAGAGAATTCTTTGTTTTCCACAAATAAAATCATTGCATAGACATAGTTATGGTTGAAATAACTGAATACATTTAATCTACTTAATTACACTTTATCATTTATAATGTTACAGTTTATTCATTAGTTGTGTTATTCTGTTTTTCGTTATCTTATAATTAAAGATATTGCATTTCCACAAGTGTTCCTACTGAGTTATAACAAATTAATTTAGGATGTAAATGTTAAGAAGCGTATGAAGTTAAACATTATAAAAAGTCGCGAATAAATTACAGAATTTTGGCCCGTTTTAGAAAAAGAATATGCTGTGCTGTGTATCAGTTTGAGTATGTAAATACAGGGTAACGGATTAAAACAGATTTAAAGAAATGGACAAAGACATGACTTCCAAACCTTAATATCAGATCAATCACTATATTCTTTACACCATTTAATTTGAGCATTTTACCACCAAAATCAGATATATCAGTATGTAGTAAATCCAGGGTAACGGAAAAACTGATTTAAAGAAATAGACAAAGACATGATTTACAAACCTTGATATCAGTTCAAAAACTAAATTCATTACACCATTTAATTTGAGCCTACTTACCAGCAAAAATAAAGTGCTTTTACTATTCCAATCCGTGGTCAAAACAACACCCTGGTAGTGGAGCGCGTGATCTGCGCAGTGACTGCGCAGCGCGGATGCCCGTGAACACATCGCGCGCATGGAGCGGCGCGCGAGAGTGCGCAGTCACGAGCGTGTTTGTAAACACCATCATTAGCCTTATAAGCAGACACACAGAGATGCTGCTTTCTCACGACTTGACTTATAATGCGCTTGAAGACTGTCATCTCCAGCTGAATATAGATAATATTAACGAGCGATGCGTCAGCTGAAGAGACAAAGTTGAATGAAGGTATAAAGGATTGTGTTTAGCCAGCATGCTAGTTCACCCTAAGCCAAGGAACAACGGTTAATCAGCTATTTTATAATACAGGTGAGTTATTTTTCTCTGACAGTCTTATTTTGAATGACCACTGTACATACGAACAAACGGTAATCCTGCTGTTGTGGAGTGTGCCTCCGTGATTTGACATTGTGTTAGCTGCAAAAAACAAACTCACCAACCTTAATTGCGCAAGCACTGGTGGGCACTATACTGTATATGTAAGTTAGATATATGGGGTCAGGCATGCCACCAGACAAATAAATATAACCGCAAGTTATTTAAAATGAGCTCATCATCATCATCACCACATTTTGTGATGTTGTTCTAAAGGTATTTAGTTGCTAAATGCCAGTCAATTGATTTTCTGTGAATTGACAGGTTTGTTATGGTTGCATCAGTGAATTGAATTACTAGTTCTACAGATGTAATTTGTTCAGACAGCCACATCAGTTCATTAGTCATCTAGAATCAGAACATGTATTTATACTGACATCAACAACCCTTCACTGAATAATTGTGTGGGTGTGTTTTGAGCAAAGCAATGTCAAAGTCACAGAGAATGAAGATAACTTCTTATCAATTCCATGAGAATTTTTAGACTGACTTGTGTGTATTATTTTGTAGAAACTGGCTGTTTTTTTAGCATGTTATTTTTAACTGTTCCAGCTTAATACAAACCACACCATCCTCTGCAGTTCACAGGGAAACACTCTCAAGTCTGTGGCATTCAATACCTTGGATGTCCTAATGTGTTTCAGTACACACTGAAGCCAAGAGCTGGTCAAGATGCCGTGGCCATTTTCTGAGTCCATTAAGAAGCGGGCCTGCAGGTACCTGCTGCATCGATATCTGGGAAATTTCCTCCAGGAGAAGCTCAGTTTGGACCAGCTTAGTCTGGATCTCTATCAAGGCACGGGCTCACTCGCTCAAGTGCCGCTGGACAAATGGGTACGTTTTCCCCTATTTGAGTCCATACAGAACAAGCTCCATGAAATCAGCCTCAATGTTGAGAGAAGATGTTTTTATCTTTTTTTTTTAATCGATGGGACCAGATTGTTTATACCTGTTGCCGAATAGGCCTTTCCAGGATGACACTCAAGTTTTTAATGTTAGAAAAAGATCCAGCAACACATTCTTTTTGTCAAAATCATTTATCAGCATGTTTTATTAGATTGTGCTGTGTTTAACCTTGTGAGAAACATGACTTTGGAAGATATTTTTAACAAAGATAGATAAAAAACCAAAGATAGTTTTCCAACCCTCTACGGACACACTGAAGTGTGAGTCGCCGCATTGTCTAGTAATTTTTTATTATTATTATTTTACTCGCCAGAATTTTTACATGGAATGCAAAACAATGGAAATGAAAAAACGTATAACTTATAAATATATATTTCAAACATTATTAAAGACAAGTAAATGGTTTAATAAAGTGACAAATAATTCAACTACAAGCAATAGCACAAATTAAGCAATAGAACAAAAACACACATGAAATAAATAGATCTAACAATTAGGTAAAGTACAGAAATTGAATTAAATAATTAAATGACACTGCATAGTCTAAACTGTATAAATTAAATAGATGAATCCTTATTTAAAGTTACAAAAGTTGTTCAGTCAAGAGCAGTGAGTTATTTTATTCTTTAGTCTTTATTATTTCGTCTTTTGTTTTTTGATTAACATTACAAAGCAGCAGGAATATTAGGCTGCTGTCACTTTAAGACAATGCACAGCTCCAATAGATTAATACTGGATATAGGATACTTGCAAAGATGGGAATTTTGTCATAATTTTGTGTGAAATTGTCCGTTCATGCACAAGAAGACAGTATTCGTGTGCGGTCAGTCGAATTGAATTCCCTTTCGTGTCTTCTTGTGCTTGAATGTTTAAATTAGCAAGGCTTAAAACACATTTAAATGATCAACTTTCATGATGATGCAGCACTGGTACTCTCATTAAAAAAGTGCTGTTATAGAGTTTTTAGCAAAATTGATTTAAAAAAAAAAATCCTGATAGTTTGCCACACAATTTTCTCGCAATGAAAATATCCAAAGATATAGAATAGACATGAGCAGATAAGTTGGACGCATGATTGAACTTCTGAAATTTGCTATATCTTATCTGAGTGTAGCACCAAGGGAACATTCCATTGCCAAATATAACTGAGAGTGGCTATATTTTATACATATCCCCCTAAAAAAACATCAAAAATGATGTTTATCCGCAGTTTACCTTCTGTGACTTTAATATCTCATGCTTCTTCAGTCCCTGAACGAGATCCTGGAGTCTGTGGATGCACCGTTTGAGGTGAGTGAGGGCTTCATCCAGGCCATATGTCTCACTGTGCCATGGGCCTCGCTGCTCCAGGACAACTGTGCTCTGGAAGTGAGGGGCTTGGAGATGGTGTTCAGGCCAAGACCTCGAATGGGTAGGAAGCATCTTTCAAATCGCTTTCTCTTTAGATGATTATCTTGATCAATGCTTTAAATGCAATGCTGTGCATTCTACATTTCTGCGTTTTGTAAAGTTTGTTCTTATTTATAAAATCTTCACAATCGTTTTGTATTTTTATATTGTATATTATTTCTGTCTACTGATAATTTTTTAATACACATTGTTTTATAATAATTTCTTTTTCCATAATGATTTTTCTCTGGCAAGTGACGCATCGTTTATTTTGTATTTAGATGTATTGTCTGAGTGAAACTGATTATTGAAAAAACCAAGTGTTTTGAAGGGACTTGGTTCTATCCCATGGTATTGGTAACTTGTTGATTAGATGTAAGCAAATCTGAATCCAAGCTTGCAGGCGATTGGAGGAAAGGGCATTTATGCAGACAAAAATTGTAATTATTAGAGTAGTCTGGTAATTTCCCTAGAAGATCCAATTATTTTGATTAAAAAGTATGAGGTCAATTCATTTTAAATGAAACGTATGCATGAATGAATTATTTAAAGTGAAGTGAATTTCCATTTTATGACTACTTTAATGTTGTGTATGCCCATTGTAAATCTTTTTAGCGTCCGGCATGGAGCCCATGTGCTGGTCCAGCTTCATGACCAGCAGTATGCAGCTGGCCAAAGAGTGTCTAAGCCAAAGACTCACTGATGACCAGGGAGAGAGCTTCCAACCTCTGGAGGGTCTGGAAAAGTTTGCCGAGACTATCGAGACGGGTATGCCTCTTCCCGTAGACCATAAAATCTTATTTAATGTTTTTTTTGTTCTGTATATAGCTCTGATTATAGTCTGATTCCCTCTCAATGACAGAACCTTTCCCTGTTCTCTCTGTTAGTGTTGAGAAGAGTTAAGGTCACTTTTGTGGATACTGTCCTGCGGATGGAGCACATTCCTGAAAATTCGAAAATTGGCATTGCCCTCGAACTCCGAATCAATAAGTAAGTTCTAGAGCTGTAATTCAAGGGTTACTAAACCCCTGGTCAGAGCCTGACTCCACCCACTGGCAATATTTGAAAATGCTGAAAAAGTGGGCAGACCCCAGTGGAGATAGAGGGGACGAAATAGACGCTAAAACACTCTATCCTGATCGTTTTCAATACTTACAATTCCAATTCCTAACTCGCTACAGTGCTTTTGATGACACAAGCTCGCGTGGCGAGCTGAAACCTGCGTATGTCACGAAGTGCGGAACATCCAATAGGAAAATTCAACTGCAGTAGCAACCGTTCAACCTGAAGAGGGCAGCACTAAGACGTTTTTACACCATGTATTTTAGAAATAAAACGCTTTATAAACAAATGTCAAAAAAGTTACTCGAATCAATGACTAGAATTAATAAAGATCCATTCTTACAGATCATTAATAAAAAAAGTTGGTTTAGTGTTTAGTTACTCTTTAAATATTTTCAACACAACAACATGATATGTTTACATATAAATAATCGCCGTGCTGTCTGTACATTTTGTGATATTTAGAATGGTTTACTGTGATGAGAGCGTGGAGGAGGGCTCCAGTGTCAACATCCACCAGCCTACTACATTTGCACATAAAAACCTCACTCTGGACGGAGCCTCTGTGTTCTGGGACGAGTTTTCAGAGTCGGCACGTGCCGGCCCCAAATCATCGCCCACTCAAACAGTGAGTTTATCTGTTCTGCTGCAATAATAAAAAATTACCTTTGGTCCCACTATATATTAAGTGGCTTTAAATGTAATTACAGCTCTAACTAATTTATGTACTTACATCTGTAATTACACAGCCCTTACACTTTAACCTACCCTTAAACCTGCCCATACCACCACACCTGTCCCTAACCTTACCCATATCACACCTCAATAGCAGCAAAAGTGTTTTACAATACAACATGAGCACAATAAGTACATTGTACTTATTTTTCAATGTAAGTACATAGTACTTAAAGCCACTTAATATAAAGTGGGACCTTCCCTTTAACCAGGTTGTGGTGCAACCTAACCCTATTAAGCCTTATCCCTAAGTACAGTATCTTCAAATTAGTTTTTGTGTAACTATTTACCAGTACAAAGCCTTCTAAGACAAATGTTCCTTATACATTGAAGGATACTGAACCCAAGCTTTCACCAAGTTGGAATCCAAAAATCATCTGTGAGCCTCACCCTCAGTTCCCAGAGCCGGTGTCTTCCAGTACACCATTCGAGCCAGTACAGGTGTGCAGCCTTAGTGGGAAACTGGAGCTGTCTGTGGTTCTGAAGCAAAACCAGGCTATGCCAGGAGCTAAGGTGGGTACATGCAGTATAACATACAGTTAATGTACACTCATTTGAATGCTAGCTGGTTATAAAG